ATAATTGGTTTTGATACATTTCAAGTCATTTCTTCTTGTGAAACACAATTTCAAATATTCTATATAAATATTATTATCTTAAAAACCTTTACAACTTGTTTTTAATAAATATTTTTAATTAAATATGTCCTACGTTTCTGTATTAATTTTACTTAGAATATTATACAAAATGACAACAAATAACTCGTACACTATAAAATAATATATTTTACGTAAAATAATTACATAATTCATATTTTAATTACTTTTGCCTCAATGGCATAGTATCCCGTTCAGCGATAAATTGGATTTATTTTATAAATAACATTTTAATATTTGCTAAATTAATTAATTTAAATAATATTTATTTTTACTCAATAATTTATTATAAACACCGAATACTGAAACACCTTTATATATTTATTCATGGAATATAATAAACATAATAAAAATTAATTAAAATATAAGCTTTGCCCGTGACTTCTTCCGCCTTATCGATACAATATTGATGGAGCAGAATAAAACTATAGCTTCTCCATGGTAAAATTTATGGCCATAGAGCCGCTATGATGCCATGATGTAACGAATAAATACTCTTTCATCATTTAATATAATACAGAGACACAGTTTACAATAACTATTGTATACAATATGTAAATATATGTAAACGAGTTATAAAAACTTTTCATTCCGGTATTCTTCGAGGTGTAAACAGGTTAAAGGTTACTCACGTTATAATAGACGAGAAATCGTCGGAATAATTAACTGTAATTATTTTAATAAATTTCATTTATATATATTTGTATATCTATCTGTTTGTATGTTCGTCCGTACATTATGCAAAAACTACTCATCATATCTTCATAGTCGTATAATACTGACGGATCTTTATGTGTAATATTTGTCAGATCCGTCAGTATTCTACGACTATGACGATATCAGCTGTTATCTGTTCACTACTAAACATAAGTCTTTTTCATAGACTACCATAAGGTATGGGAACATTCCTTATGGCATATTACCATTTAAGGGATTTTCCAGTAGTTACCACGCTTAACAAACAGATTGACAATCGTAGTTTGGTATTTGCTGATATTTTTAAAACGGACGCTGCTGCCCATCACTGGACTATTAAGTTCCCATAGTCGCCTTTTACGACACCCATGAAAATGGAAGAAGCGGCCCATTCTATGACGCGACCATAGTATGGGGACAAACAAAAACTACTACACCAAATTAAATATGGTTTCTCGGTCGTACTCCTGTAGGTTTAAAGTAAAATTGTGTTTATATCTTAATATGTAGTCATAAACTTGCATAATCCACGCCTACGAGGTTGTGGGCAAAACTATTGAAAGTGAATTTATTTGTTTATTACTTCTTGACGCCTTAACAACTTTATGACGATTAGTCATAAAATTTCATACAAGTAGACGTATTATTTTAGATAGAGAAGAGCATAGAACGCGGACGAAGTCGCGGTTAAAAGATGGTCTCAAATCATCAATCAATACATATAATAAAATCGTAACTGATCACTGTCTGTACATGGAAGATATATAAGAAAAACTATTGTAGGGGAGCTTTATGAATTTTTGAATTGTTATCTGTTTGTTTGTACGTTTGTGCGCGCTAATCTCAGAAATTACTTAACCGATTTGAACACGGTTTTCACTATTGCATTTCGGGTTGTTACACTTAACATTTAGTGTTTGTTTTATTTCAATCGGTTCATAAATCAAAAAGTTATATCAATCTAAAGAATGACATACGAAATGCTATAAAATAATCTATCAGTTAAATTGTCAAAAACTTTATGACGGTATTAGGTACGTAATTATTATTTAAACGTATAATACCATATAAGACTGAATTCATGAAGAGTTCCAATGGGAATGATATACAGTAACTATATGGAAGCGAGCAACGCCGCGGGAAACTGCTGGTCTTAAAATAAAACTATATCAAGTCGTCTAATATGTATACCTAGTAATATCCTCTTTTAATAAGGAAAGACTCACGCTCAGTAACGTCATTTAGTGTTCATTCATTTATTATTTACTTGAAACATGAAATACAAGGTGTTATACGAGTATATAAAAAGCGTATATAAATATTGGATCCTTAATACAATTTTAATTTACATTTTAATATTATTTCATTATGTTAGTATTAATTTAATCATTTATTTGCTCCATTATATTCTTTAACGTTTCAACAATAGTAATACGAACAATACTCAATACACCAGTCCATCGATTATATCAAGTAATATATATCTTCTATTATTAGTTATATATATTATTTATAAATCTGTGACTGTAAATAAATAATACCAGAAGGAGACTTTGTACAAAAGTCGATTGCTTGAGTTCTGTCCCATTCGTGTTTCAACCGCGAAGCAGTTGTGTTTGCATGGCTGTGTTTCGGTTTTAAGGGTGGGATATGTCGTGAATTTAGTGGGTACAGAGGAATAACACCTGAGTGAATCCTCAGGAATGGCAACGTATCATGGGCGAAACAGTATACTGTTACTATCCATGTAGCTGTCCATGGTACTGCTCATGTCTATAGGCGACGGTTACCACTTTCCAACAGGTGGGCCGTCAGCTTGTTTGCCATTCTAAGTTGTATAAAAAAAATATCCTTAAATTTTAAACAACAATAACATGATAAATTAATATTTTATTTTATTTATTTGTCGCATATAACAGAAGTTTGCAAATACAAACTTAAACTATAACATGCAAGTATATTAATCTATTGATCAGGTAAATTTGCCTTAAAATTATATTCAAGTAAAATTAAATACTAGTATTTGGCATTCCATTGTTTTTGCCTATCCTAATGAGAGACAGTCGTAACAGATATGTATGTATGTATTAATTAATATTCAAAATTAACACCAAACAACTTTAGTAGGTACTAATATTAAATTCTTTGGTATAAAATTGTATTTGTATGTACGTACATTATATTTAGATGTTTATTTTAATACTTAATTTAAATAAATAAAAATTAAAAGCTATTTATAGGTAACCACATGTTATAGCAGGGTTGGACCGACTTTATGACTAATTATTTTTCAAAATATTCATATTAGTTCGATTTAAAGTTATTACTGGAAGAAAATTAATTTGTATTTGAACCGGACATTTTTAAAATTATCACTCGATATAAATAAATAAAGTAAATCAATTAAAAAAACTTTTTTATCTGAAAGCATATATTATGGACTTACAGATTAGTTTTGCAATTTTTTTTTTCAAATCGATTCAGTCATTTCGTTTATTTTTGCTACTATTGAATACAGGTTTTTTGTGAAACACAATTTTTAGACTCGTAACAATTAAAAAATAACATTTTTTTTTTTAATATTATACACTACAAAATATTACAAAATATCTATGAAGATTTATATGTAGATACGTGCAGACAGTGAAAGAATTCGGGATCATTATTCTTTATAACTAAATTTGATGTAGCCAATTTTCAAGAGAGAATCATTGGCAGATCGAAAAGAATGACGAAGATAAATCCAAAGATGATTTCATAACAGCAAACATCATAAATTGATTTAACTGTTTGGAAATTTATGCTGTTACCAAGTTACATTTGTACTAAATACAATACAAAAGCAACGGTTCTGATTGTTCAGGTCTAATGAACTTGTCTCAAAGTTTAATTTAGAATACAGAAGTTTTAATTTGATTATATTAAAATGACGAATTTCCCTAAATAGGTATTAAATAAAATCATGTATTGAAATTAAAATAAATAAAACCATCATATCGTACCTACCGTTACACTGTATACTGCTGAACATAGGCTTCCCCCATAAGGGGGGTTTTGCCAGGAGTTGCCATGCTTGTTAGGTGGGTTGGCAACCGCAGTTAAGATTTGGTAATGTTTTTAGAGGGACGCTGCTGCTTATCCCCCAACTATTAAGCTTCCTTAGTCCCCTCTAACGACACTTATAGCAAAGGAAGAGATAGCCTAATCTGTGCCAGGACCACACGAAGAATCACTAGGGTATTTTATTTTTCTACTAATTAAGTAATTGTTTTTTTTTCACAACGTAAGTACCTATTTAAATTAAATATTGTATGTATAAATGATGAAATCTATATATGTATGTCTATACCATAAAGCTACTGAGTTAATACAAAGTGCCTAATAAATTTGAGTAAAATTGCAAAGTAGGCACCAGTACTGCAATTTTGCTCTCTGCATTTTACGTAAGTTGGTATACTGGAGAGATAAAGCTTTGCAATTAGCAAATTACTTTAACCTCCTTTAGTAAGGAATATATATTTATTATTTAAAAAAAAAATGGGTATCACGTAAAATCCATTGAGCATGTTGAGCAAGCAAACTAATAATGAATGCAAATATGCACACTACTCAATTGAATAAGCACTCTGCCTTCTGACCTGTAGAACAATCGGTTAATATTCTTTGCAGATTTTTTTTTTAATTATATCTACTTAAGAGTATCCACGGACCAATAAATCATACAACATTGTAGACCTTGATACAAGAAGGCTATTGTTACTTTAATAAAATGTGTAAGTGCTCACCTACCTTTTATTTTATAAATGTCAAATTATTATTACACTGTAGACAATGTATTATTATTTTAACTTTCCGTCATTAATTCAAAACCCAATCTCATTCTGTAACTAAATTGAAAACAAAACCACAACCTATTTCATAAAACATATTAGTTAAATAACTTGTGTCTTATACAAACACAACATACCTAACATATTTTCGAACAGTAATTACTCTAGTGGCAATAATACTCGTAGATGAAAATACTAATAAAATAAGTACCACATACCTATCTACTTAATATTTGGTTTACTCAGAAACCGATAAATAGAATTGTCACTTATCAGTTTGGATAAACAGCTGCTCGTTATGGTATCGCGAAAAACAGATTTAAAGAAATATTTGGCAGTTCTTACATTTAAGAAACCACGACCTTCATATACATTTTTTTTTTAATTTATACTCACACGCAAAATGCCGGCACACTCGTAAATCCACTCTCGATGTTGAAATAAACTTCACAACTCGCAAAATCACAAGAAAGAGCACACTAGTCACAAATATCAAGAAACATCTACAAGGGCATTCGTCATTTTTACACTTTGTGTCACTATTCAAAGTTTTTTTCAAATCGTTAACTGAAAGGCGGCAAAGTCGCGAAACTATTGGACGTTAAAACGCTTACGACACACCTACACCGTACGGCGAACGCACGCAGACTGAATCAAAAATCGTGTTTTGTTCGTATCCAAATCTAATCCACGAACCTGCGAACAAAATCTCTATTCAGAGATCGGGTTTTTTTATCACATCGTAATATTGTTATGTCAGATTTGGTACGTACCAAGTACGTGTGTATTGTGAGAAAAGATGCGAGGAAATGCAAACTTGGAATTTGTTAGAGGGAGTAGGTACTTGCGCGTCTGCGAACGAAATATAAGCCGAGCCTATCGACACTGTGACCATGATATGGCAGATTCTTGCCTCTTTCCCACCCTTGTTTTGTGCATAAACATAAAACAATTTTTTAGTCATTTCGGTTTCTATTATACTGTAAAAAAAGGGAATGTTTTAATTTTATTCATCACTGACATTACTCATTGCTACACTAGTTAAAGAGTCTTGAAAGATTGCGTTTTTGATTCTGTTCATTAAAATTATTAATCTAGGTCTATGTTTGAAGAAATGCAGAGAAGACTTGATGGACATTAAAATATTTCTCGTCAATAAAATTAAACATACGTTCCTACTTATATTTATTTATAATAATGAGCCAATGGGACAATAGTTAATAAATTCTAGAGCACTAACAGCAATGTACGAAATAGTCAAATGTTTTTTAAATGTAAATATATTTAAAAATATGATTTTTTAATTTATTTAGCTTTGTTAACATGAATTGAATTTGTATATAAATATCTCTAAATATAGGTCCATCTGCGTAATAAATTTCATTCCAATCCATTTAGCCATTAAAAGCGTAATTAAGTAGTATAAGTACCTACATACAAATATTTGGACTCCCGTTTATATTATTATTAAGCATATTGGTAATATTTCGATATTATTTTGAATAAACTTTTAAAGGAGTTTCTAAATTTGGCTATCTCCTGTAAAAGTTTTTTTTTTCTTTTTTTTTTTATTTAGATTAAAGTAGGGCATGCTCTGTAGTTTCATTTCATATTACACTGCCTAATTTATTCAAACCAACTTCCGACGAAGAAATTTACTTGTTTTTATACCGTTCAAAGTCTAGGCCAAAAGTATTTTCTATAGTATATCACTAAGGTAGCAAGCAACAAACTGCGGTACAACCACATACACTGTGAATATGTGCAGAATTAAAGTTAACACGTGCGCATTACCGTCCTAAAGAAACCTTTTCAAGAAGATAGAATATTTAGAATGCCAAGCCGTTTTCTCGAGGGAATATCTTGGCAAATCCTGGTTCTATAACCAGAGCGTTCATAGGAGGAAACTCCTTTGAAAGTTAATTAAACACAAGTGTAGTTGCTTATGTCTTTGTACTTATTAACATAGAAAGTGTCGAGGTTTCGTGATAAAGTATCTTAACTAGGGATGGGTATTATGTAGCAATATCTATATACCTATTACAGTTACAATATCTATTAATTGGTATATTATCAGAAATATTAAATGTAGTTTATCCAATGTAGGACCCAATCGAAATGGATATACACAACCAACCAGTATGGGCGTTGTCGATACAGGTGATAATTTTTTTACGCAATTAAAACCCAGATAAACCCAGTACATACATTTCGGTATTACCCATATCTAATCCTATCTAAAATTGTCATTCATAATTTAACCAACACCAAAAGTCATGTGTATTTATTTTGGTATTTATTATCACTATCATATCAGCCGGTAACTGAATATAGACCTCTCTCATGAAGAGGTTTTGCCAATAGTTACCGCAATTAGGGTTTGGTGATGTTCTAAGAGGGACTAATGTACATCGTTCGACCATTTAGTTCGTAAGAGGTGACCATGTGCCACTTACGACATCCACAGAAAAGGAAGGGGTGGCCCATTTTACGCCGGGGCTATATGGCAGATATTTTAGCATGCACTTAATTAATACGGGAGGCAACGATAGGCACGCTACCTGCTATATTAGTTACCAAAATATGGGCATGTTAAGGGTAACTTTCAACATAATGGCCTTTAACTACTCTATCGGGTATCATAGTCATAAAGGTATTTTTTATGCAGATTGTAATGGTAATCAAATTGAACGACCAATTTGATGGAAAGTAACGGTAAACTATAGTCATAAACGGTACCAAGGATATCATAGAATACACTATGATGCCCATAATACTTACTCCTCATGTGCCTTTTCTAACTACCTTACCTAACTTCTAACCTCTCGTACCTTGAAAATTCACTGCTTTTTTTAAATCTATACCAAAAAATACAAAAGAACGCCGACGATGCAACTTTGTCCGTCCGTCCGTCCGGGGCTCTGTCTCAATGCTATATGTCATCAACTATTAATGCTATTAATTTGGAATAGAGTTACGTACTATTGACCCACCTATGTTTCAAGTTTCCAGTAGAAATAACTGAAAAGAAATTTTTACTTTTTTGCTAGGAGGTCCAAAAAGAGTACTGAACTGGTGTATGAGTTCAATTCGCTATTTTTTTATTAATTAAACTATAAATAAAAAGAGATAGTATGAATCGTATTAGTGTGGGATTGGTATGAAACGGAACGTATGTTAAAAGTGAATGTTGTATGCATAGATTAGAATACGAGGAATGAAAAGAGACGGATGTGGAGTGAAGAGAGGAATGGTTGGAGAAAAAAGATTAAAATGAACGACAAATGAACGAGTGTGTGTGTGTGTGCTCCTATGAATTATTTCTAAGATTTGGTTTTGCAATTATATAAAGGTTAAATCGCTTGCGTAAAGAAGGAATTTTATTTCTGGCTCCTTGGACCTACATTAGTTTTGCATTTTAGTACTTATTAATCTTTATTAATTTTATATTTCATTGAACATGGTGGCTGCAACGATACTTAAATACGGTAGACAAAAAAAAACTACAATAACGGTAAGGCCTAAATAAATAACCACAATAGTTTGAAATCATAAATTCAAATTCATATACATAACGAGTACAAACTTCTTGAATCTTTTAGGACTCAAAATTTAAAGATTTTAAATACTTTGGAAGTTTGAAGAGAAAATATTATCTAAAACATTTTTAAGAATGAAGCTCTCAATTTTATTAGATTTTATTTCTTCTTCTTCGTCTCCTCATGGCTGAGGGGCGTCATTATGATGTGTAGCCTGTGACGTGTAGCTTAAGTTGCCTGCTGAATTGCATCCATCCATCTTTTTGCTATTTTGCCTCGATTCCTTTTTCCCTCCACATAACTATCCAAGTGGCCCTTTCCAGATTGTCCGGATTTCGTCTATGGATTTTTTTATTTACAAGTATTTGATTCACTTTTATGTTTATATCATATAATGTAATAACTTTTCTAATTCTTGAGCGATTATGATACTTTTTTCTATTAATATTATTTCTCCTATTAATTTTATTACGACTGAAGTAGGCGTTTTACAACTGACAAAATCTTTTTTCTTTATAGGACACAAAGTCGTACAAAAAAGATAGATTTTGGTTCTTGTACATCTTCCAATAAAGTTTCAGTACATATAATGCGTCTAGTCTCTGCAGACAGATGGTCAACAAAAGAAATAAGTTGACGCGATAAAACTCTATAATATTGCCGTTTTAGTGATTTTGCTATGAAACCTAGAAATAGGATAACTTTTAAGTTTTGAAGCCAAATATCTCTGTTTTTCTATAACATCTATTCAATGTTAAATACCAATAAATTATCACTTCAACACAAATTTTATCTAAACTAATATATAAAGGTATAAATAATATATAAAGAAGAAAAGTTTATGTTCGTTTTCAACCGACTTCAAAAAGAAGGAGATTTTTAATTCAGTTGTAGTTTTTATGTTTATAAGTAAGTGATTTGGAAAAATCCTCTTTTATTTCAAAGGGCATACTTACATATAACTCATATAGAAAATTTGTAAAATCTTTTCAGCGATTTTGTTTTTGAATAAATAACTTGAGATAATTGAAGTATTTTTTTTTTGTGAAACATAATCTTTAATTATCTAACGATGTCTATGTGTCAAAACGAGACGCTGGCTGTGACGCAAAGCGCCGTATTCTCCTTGAAGAATACTTCCGGAAGTAAGTCTATCAAAATGTATATATATATATATATATATATATATATATATATATATATATATATATATATATATATGTATTTCATATTATTCATATATATATATATATATATATATATATATATATATATATATATATATATATATATATATATATATATATATATATATATATACAATGCAGTATATATATATATATGAAAGTATTTATTAATTATATATTTATTTGTAATGGATAAACTTGAAATAGCTGCATTACTCTGAGTAACATGAGATATATTTTATAATTTAGATAATTTTATAATTTTTGAAATATCCATACAAGCATTCTATCATAATCTGTTTAGTAAGAAAGGTTGATAAAAAATATTTTTAAAGTTTGACAATTCTTTTTAATGCAAATTGTTCAATTTCATTAATGCCTCTGTATTTGGGGTTCGACTTGATTTACTACGAAACTTGTATAACTTTCGTAATAATAACTTACTATATTATACTTATATACCTACTTACATTTATAACTGTAGTAGGTTTCGGTATTGACTTTTGAAGAGGATGGACCGCTCATAAGTTTACAGTTTCTATGCTGAAAATTACTAAAATAAACTTTCAATGGCCAAGATATTCATTCAAAACATCGTGAATTTGCATAAATATTATATTTCTCGAGTTTCTTCTTAACAGTAAACTTGATATTCAATAAAATAATTATTTAAGTATATACCCGAAATAGATATAAACATTATTTGACTAACAAATAATGTTTTTTTTTATTACCAAAGGTCGTTCATTATACTAAAAAAAACTGTTTATAGTAGTCACTAATTTCTAAATATCTCCATTGTATTTATACAGTGGTGTTTAATTTAATTCTTGATACTAGTAAATATAATAATAATAAGCCATATTTATTTAATCTCAATAGCCGTGTAGGTCCTGGCGTAAAATAGGCCAATCCTTGCTTTTCCCCGAGTGCCGAATAAG